GAGCTTGTCGTGCTTCTTGATGAGCTCTCAAAGCCACACGTTGTAGTTCCAAATTTGTACGATCTTGTGCGGCGGCATTAGCTGACAATTGCTCAGGGCTTGCGGTCTCAAGGTCAAAAAGATCTGGTGGACGTCTTCCAGTTGCTATCTCTATTGGTGAATATCCACTGATAGTCAACTGACAATTTCTTGCCCAAACTACCTTCTTGACCACTTCTCTGACCGTAACACCACGAAAACGTGGGTCATCCAGATCTACCTTCATAACATGCCACATACGTTTGAACAAACGTACAGCTGTCTCTGCTCGGTTCGGCCAAGGAGTTCTTGGCCCACAAGGACATTGTTGTATACCATGGAACCTGTAGTATTCAACAAAAGCATCGGTGAAAAAGGCTTCGTCTCCTACGATGGCCTTTGGAACACAGTTGTTCTCATCAGACCATTGCCTCAATGCTTGGATGGTGGTTTGATCTATGAGGTCTTTCTGTGCCGTAGCCCAGAGAAGATTTGTGGCACCATCAAGAACAAGTAAGATGATATACTTGTTCTTGTGAAGTTCAACCTCACAATGATCAGCAAAAACAACATCACCAAAACATGAAGCTCTAATACCGGAGACTCTGGCTCGTGGCGGAGGTGCCACTGAAGTGTTACAAACACGGCAGTTCCTGACAACTGATTCATACTTCTCTAAAACAGAGTCAGGAAGCTTCAACATAGAAACACGTCTACGAAACTGAGTAGGACTCATATGGTAGTGCTTCACATGAAGCTTATAAAGCTCTACCTTGTCCTCCAGTCTCTGTAACATCTTCCTATATGCCGGTGTCATTGCAACAACTTCACTACCAGGTAATGGGATTGAAATCCGCCTAGGCTCAAGAGCGCCATCACCTGGTTCAAGTGGTTCATGTTTATCACTTGATGGTCCTTTTGATGCTTTAGGAATTTCTACAAGTTCACCTTCTGGCCTCTCAGGTGGTTCTGAGGGAGCATACTCCTCAAGATCATCACCCTTTAAATCATTCTGAGGCTCAGATGGTTTCGACTTGTGTCCCTTCCAAAATGGATCAAAACCCTTGCATGTATACCGAAACTTTGGCGGCACGGGCTTTTCCGCGGCACTTGATGGTGCACCTTCCTTCTCTGACGAGAAGCTTGGTTCCCTGTCCTTTGCAATGGGAACCTTCTCTGAGGAGGAGCGCACCACTGCATCGGGATCACCAATGCCACGGTGCTCAATGCCAGCCTTCCTGATCTTTAGATCTGGAATTTTGGCATCTGGTTTGAACTTAAAAATTGTTCTACCACGCCATTCATAGCCAATTTGTAGGTCCTTCCATTTTGCCTTGCGCCAATCATCTAGCTTCTTGATTTCTTCTCCTCCTTTCTTCTTCTTGATGATTGTCAGTCGCAAGTCTTCCAGTAAGTCAGTGTCTACAGGACAGGACTTAGTTGCTGGAAAAAGAATCTTTCTATAATCCTTGTGGTGACGTATCAGTTCTCTCTTGTGAACATCTACTTCCCAGTAGTCAACCACAGGATATGCATGTTCAGCTACATCTTCACTATTGTGATCAACAGAAATATGACCATATTCATAGTGAGTGAAGTGAGAGTAAAAACTCTTCTCGCGCCGAGTCTGCAAATTCACGTCAGACAGATACCATGCAATATCTTGGAAGTCCAAGACAAGATGAGTACTGGCTGCAACCTTCAACTCCAAATATTTGATACCAAGAGGCACCGATGTCAGATAAGCATGTTGAGGTGTCAGCCTGAGTTCAAAGCCTAAGTTCCTCATCTGTGGCAAGCTCATAAGCAAAGGGACTTCTCCTTCTTCCACTATGTCGAACTCTGTATGGTGGATCGTCCATGCACGATCATACATGTAAATCACCAGTTTCTGAGAGCAAGTAGCCTTCTGGGAATTGGCAAAGTAAAACTTGCTCTTGGTAGCCTCAAAACAGTACCATAATCCACAATCTGGGTGATTGTCGACATAGTTGCAAAAATGGTCGACTGCTCGCCTTGATCCCATAGCTCTAGTGCATCCAATGTCCAGGATTGCAATAGTCGGCGGGAAGCGATTCTCAGTCAAAAATGAAATGGCCTGCATCTCCTTCACTTCTTCCTCAGCGCTCATAAGCGCAAAGCCATCAGGAGCCTTTGTGAGCATCTCCTTTGACAAAGAGTACCTCACAGGGGCACTCATGCCATTGAAGATCGTCTCACCATTGTTGACCGCGCAGTCAGCTTCATCTTGACATGAGGTCATCATGCCTGACAGCAAGTTCACCTCACTGTCATGGACTTCAGCTGCTGCTGTCACACAATGTGCAAAGAAACCTTGTTGACCTCCTGATGCTTGTGAAGATCTTGAAGGTGCAGGTAAAGAACGTGGCTGTTGTTGATTTGCATAGTTTGCATCTTGTTTGCCATCTCCTTTATCTTTTCCTTTTCCTTTCTTGCCTTTTCTCTTGCCTTTTCCTTTTCCTTTGTGGGAAAACCATGCTTCTTCAAGCTGTTGCCAAAAGTCATTGGCATCATCATATTCTCCTTGAAGATAGTCATTCATATCTTCGGCAAGAATGGCATCATATGCTACTTGGTTTGACTCCCAAGTGTCCTCATAAGGATTCTCTTCAAAGTACTCATCTGGATAAGTTGTCTGTTGCTCATCAGCAAAACGGCCTTTACCTCGTCTCTTTCCTTTTCCTTTTCCACGAGGTCTGAAGAATCTGCGGCCTGATCTTCCTTTACCTTTTCCTTTTCTTCTTCCTTTTCCTTTGCCTTTTCTGGCTCTTCTTCCTTGGAATCTCCTTTGGAACCACGAGAAGTTTTGATCATCATATACCCAAAAGACATCGTCCAGGGCATCTAAAAAATCCTTCTGTTCCATCTTCTTCATCTTCGGCCCAATAGCCAAATGTACCATCGAGTTCTCCTTCGTCTAGTACGAGAAATGATCTTCTACCTCCAGCACCTGTTGGCTGCATCAAAGGATTGTCTACTGAAGTCTTTGTCGTGCAGAACATCTCGATGAATACTGTCCTCAACTCTGTTGTGGTGTATTGCTGCAGGACCCTGCCACGATGAGTCATCAAAGAAGTCAAAGTGTTTCGCTGGTCCTGAGACAAATCTGCAAGTGACAGCATGAGTAAGGCAATGAGATTTTCTCCTAGAGGAAATTCGTTCTGATGAAAAGTCCTCATATTGCCATTGATGGTCTGCATGATCTCCTGAATCCTTTCTGCCGTTGGTGCTACTCCAGTCAACGCTGCATCTGCCTGCATCTGAGCTAGGACCTGTGGATGTGCTTGAGTGACTGGTTCTAACATGTCCATCCAACTGCTCATAAGCCTTTGGAGTAAAATCTGGAATCTTGTCATCCATTTCATCATGTCAGCTGATCCTCGATTGAAGCGCACGAATTGCATAAATCTATACAGGAATACATTGGTTGATCCTTTCACGAAATATGGTCGTAGTACTCGTTTGAAATATTCTACGCCGGCTCCTGGTGGATCATTTGCCTTCAATGCATCTCTGTCTAAAACACGTTTGTATACAGCTGCTTCTCCTTCTAATCTGTTTCTCAATGCTGGTCCTCTCTTCTCATCTTCCAGCTCGGTGATATCACACCAATCGTCTATGGCATCCTCATAGGAAAACCATGAAGTCTTTCCATCATAAGATGGGGGCACCTTTGTAGTGACCTGTGTTGTCATTGCTATTGCTGCTGGTTCTCTTCTCACATGCCTATTCACGTAGGCTGCTGGCTCATAAGCCACATCCGCATCAGGCTCTTCCCAGTCGTCAATCCAATCCATGGCCGTTTGCCCACAAGCAATTCTATGCCTAGGAAAGGAGCTCACCTGGGTCTTCCAGGATCACTGCTCCGCTACCACTGAAAGAGTGACTAGGGCGTACATGGTAGAGGTGCAGACCGCTAGTGTCTTTTATGCGCAGAGTCTTATCCTCTTGCTCTTTGAGCCTTGAAGCAGTCAAGCATGGACACACTATATCGGCTGTTGGAGTGGAACCCTGTACAGGTAGGCTCTACTTTTCAGGGGGGGGGGTTAGCTTGATATATCAATCTTTAAGGCACGCAGCCCCTCCCACCACAACATTGCTAAAGCAAAGAAGAACTCAGCTAGCATGCTAGCTTTCGTGAGTAGGCGTCTCTTTTGAAAAACGTTTCTGCTCTCAGACTCTCTTCAAGTAACTGGTACTACTAAGTTACACTGCTGTAAGGCTTGATGGTTTCCCGCCTCGTCTTCTGCGAGGCCAAGGCCAACCAAGAAGAGCCATCGAAGCACCATTTCAAGAGCCGTCCGCTGACTCCCGAGCCGTGTCCCAAACACAAGTCAAGGTGAACCAAACCCCAGGGCTCCAAGTACCTTCCAAGAAGGTGTTTGGGGTGGGTCCAAATACGTTCTGAGGAGGTACGACTGGAGCCCTAGGTTCTGTTGGTTTTGATCGCGGTTCTCCCAACCCCCAAAAACCTTATATAAAGCTTATATCCGCTGATCGCTGACGGGGTAGGTCTCTGGCCCTCCTCTTGAGCCAGAAAAGGCAGAACACGCAGCTTCAGCTGGCAAGGCATCCACTCAGCTCCATCTTGAGGGGGGTTGGGAGCTGGAAGAAATTCCTCCCCAAAACCCCAAAAGCCAGATAAACCAGGGGAATATTGGGCAGAAAACCGTCATCTATGGTCAAAGAATTTGTTTAAGGGAACATCTACAGGAAATCCGTGTTTTCACCGCCAAAACTCAAGGTTTCCTGTTGATTTTCCCTGAGACCAATTCTGGACTATGGTCCAATCCTCACATCACATAGGTGCTCTTTGTTGGATCGTTCATTGGATACACACTCCCATGGGACTGCCTACTGAACATTGATTCCAAATCAACCGCCCCTGGCCTGATCAGCAAACTATGCCAGTCGCAGTGGTCGTGCGCTGTGCACGGCTTCGGTTTACATGGGGCCCCCACCCAGCGAAGCTTCACAGCTGCCGCCCGTGGTACTGACTCCGCACTTGATGCCTTGGCGTGGGGATTGCTGCGTAAGAGATGTTCTATCATTTCTATCTATCCTATATAGCCTATATAATTATATGTAATTATCATCTTTTGCGCGATATCTGATCTCTCTCGCAATCCTTGCGCGGCCCAGCCAGCCCAGGCAGGATCAAAAAAAAGTCGGACAAGAATAACGCCTGAAGCGGTGCCAGGATAACGTCTGTTGGTGACAAGGCACCGCTTCAGACTCAATCTTGCGCGAAAGAGTCAGACAAGAACCACCTACACAGGTTTAAGTGATCTTAACTAGGACCCGTCACCAGGGGTACCCAACTAGGACAGTCGAACGTTCGGGTTCTGACCCACCTCTGCTGGCAATCCCCCTGCGGTTCCAAAAAGTTATAGTTTGAGACCCCTGGGCACCGGTCCAGTGGTCCCAACCACGTCCTGAACACCGAAGCATAGAGAGGTCCCAACATGACCAGGACCATCCAGGACCTGACTAGCATAGAGGTCACCGTCGCGACTTTGGAGACGCCTAAAAGCCATTGCAAAGGAGAGACCTCGACTGAGCTCGGGTGCTGCTCGGACGGGAGACCGAAGCCTTCGGATTTGGAGCTCGGACCTCTGGAGTTCTGGGTCCCGCCACCGCCCCGGTGCGACCGGTGCGACCGGACTCGTCTCGGACTCCCAGTCCGAAGCGCTGGGCTCCGCGTCTGGGTCACATGGACAATGGAGTAAACATGGAGTGAAACCATGGTGATGTGGGCCGAACACGGAGACACGGAGGAAGGCGGGAATCCACTTCCACCCACCGCGCAGACGAAGACGGGAATTTTGGGGGTTGAATGCCCCACCCCGGTTTCGATCGTCAGACCCACCCCAGTGGTGTTGGGGCTCCATGATGTTCCATGTTGCTCTGGGCGAAGTTCAGGGAGTTGGCCCAAGTTGGTCACACTGATGTTGGAGTTCCGTGATGTCTCCATCTCTGCGTCAAGCCTACTCCTGGGGCTTCGCTTGCGGCAGGAAACTCCGCGGGGCACGTCGACTCCGCGTCGACTCCGGCAGGATGCTGGACCAGGCGGTCGTGTGGAAGCAGCCGTCCAGCTGTTCGTTGCACACCCAGGCATCCGTCCCCCTCGAGTCGTCGTCTAACAAGTAGAACCTCAGAGGGTGACCGTCCGGTGGTCGACCCCCCCGAAGTCTGCAAATGGCCAATGCGAAAAGTCTTGTTCTAAGGATCCACAGTCCACATATCTTCTCAGAAGGTACGTCTACGGCCTGAAAGCCGACCTTCTCGGATCCACATACCTCCGAAGGTACGACTGCACTCTCCAAAGCCATTTCACCAAAAGTGCACCTTTTGCCCTGGACCATGGCGCGCAGGGTTTCTGGACCCCTTTCCGATCCACCACAGACTGCGCCGACGTCGAGGCGGTCTGGAAACGGTGGTTTGGCGCTCCAGCGGATTTAACCTGTTCGTGACCAGCCAAGGAAAGGTCCCACAGTGTCATGTAAGTTGAGCCTAAGGCCTAAGCGACCGAAGCAAATCCAGGGGATCAAGGTACGTCACTTCAGAACCAGGAAAAAACATAGGAAAAGAACCTATTGCTATACCTAGTGTATGATTGCGTATGATGGTAGAGTCACACTCACCACCGGGACGCTCCACATACCCGAAGAAGGCGATTGGAGTGGACCCAAACTACCGATGGGCTAGGCCAAAAAGAGCTGTTCAACCTCTCAACCCAGCTCTTTGATGTACTTGGAGTCGCCCTAGAACATGGCGCCCCAGGATGGCGCTGGGCACGTACACATCGGCCATCATCGACCTAGCTAGTTTGTTTAATGGAGTCAGTCATGTACTTGAACACACAGCACATGGTGAACCATTCCAGGTCCAAAACAACATGACCCTTAGTAAGTCCAGTTCGCCTACTTTTTGGGCAGCACCCCAGATGTCCCACTTCCGAACTCGCTTGCGGATCACCCCAAGGTCGACGTCCAGGCGAACAGCACGGTCGAAAAACACCCGACACCTTCGGTCACCGTCGCGACGATGGACGATCGACCTGGGTCCTCGCGACCTTTCAGCCACCCAGACGCTCATGGGCCCTCATATGGAGGGGTCGGGCCCTCATATGGAGGGGTCTGGGGTCTCAAACTCCTAGGTTTTGAGGGACCAAGGGCTGTTTGGAGCGTCTGGGCAGAAATCAAAGACCTTTTTTGAGACGAGTCGGGTCCAGTCACTTCCTCCCGGACGCTGACGCTCATCACCTCTGTTTGGGGCTATCAATCAATGGAAGCCGCGTTGTCAATGGGTGTTCTGATAGTCGACCCCACCCCAACACTCCAAGTATACCAGGGTGGTTTGAGGGGTCAATGTAGGCAAATATTCATGGAATGTCAGGGCCAGCTGGTGTGTGGCACACGGCGTCTCCGTCTTTGGTCACGAGCTGCTCGTCGGTGCCCATGACATTGGCCGCGTCCGCCTTCCGGTGGAGTTCTTTCGAGTTCGCAGGGAGGGGAAGACGTTTCTAAGCATCTCAAGGAGCCATCATCCAAAATCGATACTAGACTATACATGATGCCTTGCAAGCCCCGAAATCGTTCTTCCTGCATGTACTTATGGCTGTGTCCTGATTTGAGGGACACGAGGGACTGAATGGTAGTCATCCCGACCACGACTGAGCAGTCTGGTCTATTTCGATACACCGAAGGTGGCAAAGCATGCCCTGTTCAGGCATGGACGCCCCGTTGCCACAGCTTGGCTTCCCATTCGACAGTTCGGACCACGTGAACTGACAATGACGCCATGGCACACGAACGCAGCACGGCCTGTCTCTGCGCAATTTTCATCAATTTTCTTTGGTGAACATGCCTTTTCATCTTTAAAATGAACTGAAGGTGGACTAGTCTTTGCGCCACCCTCCAAAGTCTGCATTTCACCCACCACAGGAGACCTGTTGATCGTGTCCTGGTACATGTGCCCGCTACCGTTTTCCTTATTGCCCTAAGAATCCTTAGGCTGTCCATGGCAGGGGTCGGACCCGACACCTTCGCAGGGGTCCGGGGCCGAAGCAAACCCTATCTGTTTGAGGGCCCGGATTCTTAGTGTGGAGTGTTTCCGCAGCACCGACCTCCAGCACCGACTCCGTTCAACGACTCCGTTCGCCTCGAGGATGCCGCAGGCGACGCAGTGCACTCCGCTGAGCACGCGGATGTCCATGCGGCCACTGAAGGCTGCGCGGCCCGCTTGGGTGTAGCCTGGGTGGTTGGGCGAGCCCGGAAGGTCCGAATCGGACGTTCTTTCCCGTTTGGGCTCCTGGCCCATCTCCTGAGGATGTTGGGGTGGGTGCCAGGCGGGTCTAACCACCGAACGTTCTGAGATGGTTGGAGCCCTAGGGTTTTGTTGGGAATGGAATGGGAAGGGTCCAGAAGAATTCCCACTATGTCACTATGCAGCATGAGTGTGGATCCAAAGGTCTAACCCTCAACAGTACCGGTCAATGTGCCTTTGATTGGGAAGACTAGGGGGTCGATGCCAGGTACGAACCTATCGCTTGTTACATACCTTCCCGGTTGCTTTCCCCTCTACAAACCCTAGGGCTCCAACCATACCTGGCACCCACCCCAGCCATCTCCTCACCTCAGGTGGGCGCCCTAGCTCGGGACATCCACCAATGGAGCAGGCCATCGAAAAGCTGGTCACCGGAGAGGGTCAAATGGAAAGGTCGGTCGTCACTCGAGTTAACAACACATGGCTGCTTGGTAGGGACGTATTTCATGGTGGGAATGGTCTGACGTCACAGGCCGTTTTTTGGAACATCTTGGAACATGTTTCTTGCAGACCCCAGATGATCAGAATATATATCCCAAACACTCCATGTATGGTATATTTACCTACATTGGGGTGGTGCCAGAGGGGTCAATGGGGCGACATCTATGCCAGTCCCATGGGTCGTGTCTGGGATATATACATACACTGCATGTGGCATCTTTGCACATGCCTTTCGAGTCTTGCGCGGGGGGGGGCAAATTCCGCTCTTCTGGCCTCGGTGCTGGTGCTGGTGCTGGGTGCCGGGCGCTGGCAGGTGCTGGTGCTGTGAGCTGGCTGTGCACGTGGTGGAGACAGGTGCTGGTGCTGGTGCTGGGTGCTGGGTGCCGGAGTGCGTTTGCGTGAGTCCGTGCCATTGGGGGAAGGCCACCTTCTTGGGTGCACCAATTTCGGGAGCAAGGAGTACGGACGGCGTTCCCCTCCGAGGTGCTGGTTGAGGTGAAAAGAGTTGGTCTCAACAGTTTGTCCCCAGTAGTGTGTTCATCCAGGAGGAGGCTAGCACATGTCTCTACCCTAAGCAGGAGCAAAGCAATGTGATTACAGTACCAGCCTTCCCTTCGACCCTTTCAACAATTAACTAGCTGAACTTCAAATCATTCTTCGGGTTTCAAACCACTCAACGGTGGGCCAGGAACCCTACTAAGAATATGTCCTGTGATGTTCCGAACCGCTTCCTGCTGATCATGAGGTCTCATCGGTTTTAGATTGGCTTGATGCTCCAGCAGAGGACCCCATGGACTCTCAAAACCACTGGGGTGTATATACCCGAAAGGGCTCCTGGCCCACCTCCTGAGGTTCGGTGGGCCAGGGGTGGGTGCCATGGGGGTCTAACCACCGAACCTGAGGATATGGTTGAAGCCCTAGGGTATAAAGGAATATGGTCGAAACCACGCGTGTAATGTTCAGGGTCCATGCTAAGGTCTGGAGTTGGGTTTACCAGCTTGAAGCCTCTGACAGAGTGCATCGCCCTGTTACACGTGTCTGTTTCTCTTGATAAGGAGACCTCCCAGGCAACGACCAGCTGGAAGAAGGAAAATTGAGCAGTCTACCCATTGGTTGGGGGTTACTATTAAAGTGCATGCCCAGAAGTGAGGTGCGACTGCCCCCTGCTTAAAACATCTTAGAACAGCTTCAGGATCCAAAATCATGCCCACTGTCGCAAAGGAAAATCCACACGCCAAGGAGCAGCCCAAAAGCAACGTCGCATCGGGTTTGCAATAGGTGTAATAGTATTGGCAATTTCCTGAGTGGTGTCACAAGCAGCGGAGTACACTTCTCAACACCTTGTTCACCTGGTGAGTACTAGTAACTTCTTGTTGCGTTCGTAGCGATGGCCTCCAACCTACTTGCGATGGCCACCGAGCATAGCGTCCTTGCTGTGAAGGAACAGAAGGGCCCAAAGAGTGCAAAACAAGCCCAAATGGAGTCAACTCAACGGGCCCCAACGGGCTCCATGTACCTTCGCAGCAGGTAGGGGTTTTGCTCGTCACGCGGCGAGCGAAGAAGCTGCGATTCGATCTGCCTAGGTCCTGTCATCTCCCTCTCCCTACAGGTCCCAGTGCCCCAAACCCAGGTCCCCAGTGCCCCAAACCCAGGTCCCCAGATCCCAGTCACACCAACCAGATTGAGTAGGTGTGTCTTTTGGATTCTCTTGGCATGATCAACTCCATTCCAGCTCTCCGTTCCCAGGTCCTATACCTCCGAGTGCCGGCTCCGTTGAGCGCGGGTTGCGCAACCAGAGCAGCTAGGAGGACAATTGGCCACTAGCTTCTTGTTCCATTCGTAGTAAGTATTGCCAGGAGCTACTAGTGTCCTTGCTCCTAGTAAGGCCAGGAGCCCCGTTCGTAGCGTGCGATCGCTCCGTTCGAGTCGCGATGCCAGGAGCCCTGCCGTTCGTAGTGAACAGTGCTCCGTTCGTCACGTGCCGCGCCTGCCACACAGAATGCCGGCGACCATCCCCCCCATTTGGGGCCTCCAAGTCTCGAGCTTTGTTGTACGCACAGCCCTCGCTGTACGCAGTGCAAGCGCTGGTGTACGCGAGATTCCCTTGGCAGTAGCCCAAAATCATCATCAACCAGGACCCGAAGAGCCTCGGGCTTCGCAAGAACACATGGTTTGCCTTTCATCCTGCTGACTTGCTGACCTTTGGGGCTTTAACTGCAAAGCCAGAAATGAAACTGCTGAGGTGCCCATGTTGCCTACAAAGGTATACGGTATTATATACAGTAATTTACTCCTGCAAAAAACGCAGTCTGGTTCAGGTTCAAGCTAGTTTGCTTCAAGCTCCTGCTGCTTTGTCTTTCAAGTCGTTGGACGTCATTAATGTAGACTGTTGATTCATAAAGCCACATATTATAATATGATGTGAAGCCATTTCGCCACGTGATAGGGTGAGTCAGGGCCAGGGGGAGATTTCTCGCATGACATCGAACATCCAAGGCGCAAGATGCCCTGCACAAAATGCAGCAGCCGTGTCAGCCAGGGGCCCTGCTTGCAAATACCGCCAAAGAGCATCATGAGTCGAGATGCATTCCTGAGCAGGATGATGTCAGCATGAGTTGGATGATGTCAAATGCACTTTGAGCCAACAGGTGCGGCTGGGTGCGGCCTCTCAACTTGAGATTGACCCCAAAATGCTCCAAAGAATCTGTTCAACACCGGCTTGATCACCCAATTTCCCCAGTGCTTGATCAGCTCACTTCACTCACCTCGCCATCCTTGCCATGCATCTTCTTGTCGAACTGGAGCTTTTCAGCAGGGAGGTGGGTGAACTTGCCCAGGCTGTAGATCATGATCATGCAAACCTCAGTCGACTGCCGTTTTGGTGCCCGAAACAGCGTCGTTCAAAGACCATCTTGGGTGGCGGGGAGGTATGCGGGCACGGGTAGAGGCATGCTTAAAATGAGTGGAGAAACCCAAATACTCTAGCTGCTAGCTAGCTTGTTATTGATTGTTATTGTTTGGGGCATGTCATTTTAGAGGTCCCTGCATGGGTGTTAGAGGGTAGGATCTTGGTTGCATCGTCTGCTGTAGACACAGACTTTCTCGCTGATCGTGAACGGTTTCCAGTTGCCGAGAGCCACGAGCAAGCCCGGGAGACCAGGTTACCAACACTCTCAGGCTGGTCTAAACCATATTCGCACCTTGTGCTGCACATCTTACATTTACATGTTCTATGTCCTACTGCAAGTTCTTGAGGACAACTTCGAACGTAAACACCCCCAGTGCACAACCAAAGCACGGCTTCGCTTCCTACTCTCCAAGGCTGATGGTGGAAGAATATGGAAGACTTAGGGTGTCTTATGATTTCTTACTTAAGAGAAAAAAAGGCTCCGAGGTTCGCTAAAGGATTCTTGGATTTGCTTGAGGAGCTGGACATAAATACAAGAATCTTCCCAAAGGAACCACTCAGTTCGAGGAACCATCCCTTGATCACAAGAACCAAAATCAAAATGTCAACAGACTTCTCTTCTTGTGATCATGCCACCATGGTTTTAGGAGATTGCAGATGCGGGCGCTTGCTCACCAACACGCCGTAAAAACCTATCCCTGTGTTCTTCTCCGGCTTTGTTTGCAGGTACACTCCCAGCATCCAGCCAAAACCGAGGCCGGTCATCGGATTAACCGGACGGGGAGACTGGGCGCTGCCATGATGTTTGGTGGTGAATCCCCCGATCGGCCAGTCGTACCGAGTTACTGAGGAGGGGTGACGCCAGGGGTGGGTGCCAGGAGGGTTTAGTCATACCGAACCCTGAGGAGGCACGGCGAAGTCTGTGTAGGGTCAACAAACAAGCCATGCTTTTCATACCAACCTGGCTGGTGCATCGTTGCTTCCAGCTCCTTGCTCCCACGTCAAGACACCAAGAACTGCAGGCCGTTCACGTAGAAGTTTGCATACATCATGTTGGCCACCTGATGTACCAACAGAGGTTAAGTGACCTTATAGGACACTACAGGGGTACCGAACTGGGATAGCCTAGTTCGGGTCTTTCAACCTCTGTTGGTATGCAGTGAACGCACGTGCCGCATGGATGAAGCTCTCTCAACGGATGTTCCCCGATGACCGTTCCGTTCTCGGGTCGTGTCTGGGAATGTTGAAACCCAGACACGACCCATGGGACTGCGATATTTGCCTACATTGACCCCTCTGGCACCACCCCAACTGATCGGCATATATGGTAGTCCCATGGAGTGTTTGGGAAAAGGAATTAATAGCTCAAAGACTCCCCGCAGGAGATCCACAAGATCCAGGTACGATCGTGGTGTATATTCCAGTGAGCGGAGAACCATGCTGTATCATGGGGTTCTATGGCATGGTTTTCTGTTGGCCCTTGCAGTCCAAGACTGCTTACAGTATATATGAAAATCGTCTTTAGGTGACCCGAGAGGAAAAAAAAATGGTATTATCTTTACTAAGTAAGGGGTTGGGGAACTCCTTGTAGCTCCTCGGCTCCCCGTTGAGCTGGGGAATATGGATGCCCCTGGCTCCGAATCGCTCCCTCCTGAGCAAAAGCTAGTTTATGTAACTGTGGTGTTGCCAAAGAGTCTTCAGACTTTGATCCAAAGAGTCTTCAGACTTTGATCATTGATGATCCATGTATGTGGTGTTGCACGTTACCATGGCACATCTGAGTCATTACTCTCACCTGCCCTGCCCCCCCGTAATCAGAACTGAATGACTCCGGTGTTTGCACTTGCACCGGATGCACGGGCATTGGGGGAAGGAAGTGAGTCATTTGAAGGTGCGTTTTCTCGATTCTTCGTCGCCCGGACGGCTCAGCGGCTGAGCGTTAAGCCATGATGCCCATGAGTGAGCCATGATGCCAGGCCCAGGCATGCCGTGTGTATCTATCTCATCTCGGGTTCGACCGAAGTCTCCGTCACGTTTCATTCGGCTTCAGATCCATGGTCTGAAGTGATGGGTTTCCGTGTTCAGGTTCAGATCCATCAAGTTGTTCCCTCACTGCACCTCAGCCCCAACAAAGAGATATACCCAAAGTGGATGAAGCCAAGGCACATTCAGCAAGTCTCCATACTCACAGGCACTGAGTCCAAAGGCATCATTGCTACCTTGGAGAGGACTCCCAACCCCAGTGGAAAGCGCTGGAAAGTGAGGGTCGATGAAGAGGCATCAAAAGCCCTCACAGATCTTTAAGACCATGTTCAGTGGACAGTGGACAGTACTATTTCGAGTTGATCTGGGTAGACTTTTGTATCTTCGAAGCCAGGGGCAGCCATGTTCGATAGGTCTCCTGGTTTGACGAGGACTCTGAGAGACCAAAGCCTTTGAAGAAAGCAGAGTTCTTCGTTCTCTTCCTTCAGGTCGCCAGCGGTGTGCAGGAAGTGACTTGATTGGGCGCAGGAGTTGGCACGACAAACACATGAAGAAGCTCCCCTCTCTCAAGCAGAAGCTTCCGTGTATGGGGGTCTGTGCTGATTTCTTGCTGCAGTTGTGTTGGTTCTGCTAGGCTGACACGTCCAAGCCGGCCAAGCCGCCAAAACCACCTTGGAACTGTCTGGTCCTGCTTTCTCTGCCCTGCCCCCTGCCCTGTGTGGTTCAGATATGTCGAACGCTCCACGCATGGCATATTTAGACCCTATCCTTTTGTCGGAGTGGTTGAGTTGGGGTCATACCCAAACCATCCATGTATGGAATAGTTCATACATGCAAACCCCATTTAAGACACCAATGTGCCAATGTAGGTAACCCATCGGTCGTGTCTGGGTATGAATCACCAAATCAGGTCATTTGCCTTGGATTTGCTTAAGGAACCTTGAAACATAAAACATATTCACCAGGTTCGGGGATGCACCCAGGAAACGGGAATATAGACCATCACCTTAATCAGCAAAACCAGGTCATTTGTCAGGTCCCCTACGCAGCTCTTTGTCGCGTCCCCTCGTGCCCTCGTCCTGTCCGGGACGCATTCCACAGCGCTGCTGGTGGACAGGACCTGTGCCTTCAGGTCTGTGTCGTTGGTGGGCACCGTGGAGCCACAGGTGTCCTGGGAAGACAAACATGGACGGCATGGACCTCCAGTCGTAACTTCTGATGGTTGGGGTGGATTTCGGGGGTCTAACCACCTTCTCAGGATATGGTTGGAGCCCTAGGGATGGAACCTGATTTTATGGACCAGACTGGTCCAAACGATGTTCCTCTACACCCAAGTGAGTTTGGGGTTGCCATGTTCATCTTCCAGGGCGGACGACCTGCTGGGAAATACGCTGTCATTGTCATGAATCACGCTTCCATGGTGAGATGTCATCTGATTGAAGCATGACCTTGAATTCATGCTATTGCATGCTATTGCTCCTCATCATCAACCATCAATTATAGCCTAATAGCTGTCAGGGCCGGGGAGCTCCGGTGGCCAGTGCCGGCTCCCTGTGCCGCGCCTCCGCAACCCTCCCGAGTGCTGGAAGAGTGCTGGGCACAATCGAAGCATAACGGTGGGTGAAAGTGGGGGAACCCTGGTTGACGCTGGATTAAATGCACAGTGACAGAGTATTCCTCTTCTGAGGGCATGTATGATCATATATGGTTTGTAAGGTGAGGTTTTGATCCACACCCATGCAACCTTTGGAAAGACTCCATTCCATGTCCTCCTCAAACCAAAAAATATAGTCAGGTGATGTCAGGTTCATTCAGGTTCTAGGTTCATCTGCTTTCGGCAAAATGTCATCTGGGACCCGTCATGCAAGACCACCATGGGAGGCCCACAGCCCATCCACTTGCCCCGTCCACAGCAGTCCCAGAACGGGGCTCTCCCTTTGCTCCCTCGCTGACAGGTTTCTCCCAAGGAAGTGGCCGTTGCTAGAATGATCTGGTAAAGCACGATGGCGGCGATCATCACCTGCGGTGTGGAATATTAAAAGAATGGTCAGACCAGTTGACCTGTGTTAGGTCCCCCAATGTAAGTGAGATCTTCACTGGAGGCCCCCTACTGGTTCATCTGAGGTGTTAACTGGTGGAGACTCCCACCATCCAAATCTCAAGAAGTCCTTTTGGAAGTCTAAGTCTGGGGCCAGGGAAGTCTTAGTCTATGGCGACTTGGGAGGGACTTGACTCCGTCCCTTCTCTGAAGATCTCGTTCTAACGTTCTACCCATGAACACGTCATGGAAAAAGGATGAAAAAGGCCGTATGGGGGAAGGAATCCCTTCACAAGGCAATTCAACTATAATATATAAGGTTTCAGAAGTACATGTGACTGTAGGCCGGAGTTTCCGGACATTAACCACTTGTCATGTATCATCATGTATCCCATTTGCAGCTGAAGGACACCCAAGCTTGCAATGCCCTGCGCGGTGTAGAACAGTACCCGCTTCTGCGAATTCCTCCGCCGCTTACCTGCAGTGCGGAACGCTTCGGCTCGGCTCGGTGGGCGGAGCCTGGGTGGATTCGAATTGGACCACTTAGGCCTGCTGGGCCAGTGCTTTGTTGCTGCATAGGCTAGGTCATGCTAAGGTTATGCTAGGTCATGCCTGGGCCAGCCCACTTGACCACGGATAAATGCTGTCCATCAGGGAGGGTGAAAAGTCTGAAATGGATGAACATTGCTCCCTCCCCAACAGCCAGATTGTCTTCTAAGTCCCTCCAGCAGGTTTTTCCTGGTGACAACATGTGACAACAGGTGCCCACAAACCACCAGTAGTCGGCTTCCAAAACCGATCTGTCGAGTTCGTTCAGTTGAATCGTCCAGCTGCATGACACCCTTAGCTTCTGCCAGAGGTGGTCCACACAGGACAGCAGTCGGTGCAAGGAGGAGCACACGCGCCGTGCGCGGTTGCGGCGGCTATCAAGCTCCCCCATGCGCAGGGCCGTCTCCGGTGACCATCGCAGTTTGGGAAGGCATCCATGAAGGCGGAGACCGAAGCTATCCCCCCCAGACTGGATTTGGGCTGGGATTGCTGAAGTAATTCGGGGTCGAATGGGGAATTTGTTCGAGACTTACTAAGCTCTGCCCACCTTCATGGTCAAAATCTTGGATGTATGGCCTACACGGCCGGAATCTGCAGACGTGTTTGTGCCACAAATAGACCGCCGAATGTTTCCAGGGGCAGGTCTTTTGGGAGCAACGTGTGAGGAAATAAACACAATATGAAATGTCATCACCGGGTCTAAATCTACAAAGGAGGAGGGGTCAGAATATGTCAGAATATTTAACGTGACCCGGTGATCCTGTTTCCAAGACATTTCAGAACCTGGATATGGTATTCCTTTGCGACAAGAGGATACCATCACGCCCGGTTTGCTTTGAGGTTGGAGCCTCTAATTTTCTCTGACCTTAACGGGGCGTTCTCCAATCTGGAGCCTGAGCTTGGCCGAGCACATGTTGCAAACAGCCCCGGGACCATCCATGTATGGAATAGTTTGGGTCTATCACCAGGGCCCAGTGGATGATGATGGTTCATTAGGTTGCAGGCCTTGTTCAAACATAGCAAAAATTGATGTGATTTGCGTTACTGACGGCTCCACAGGTGAACTGGGACAGACCCAAGGAATAGTTACATACATTGTACAAATGAAAACAAATACCGATGTGGTGGTGTCACTCATTCCAGTCTGCCATGGGACGTTTTGGCCAACAAAGAGCTGGCAGCTGTAGCGGGTGATGTTTTGGAGACATCAACGCCCGAATCTATAATAGGCAAATATTCCTGACATGGAGCGGTGACCTTGTGAAGTGGCAAGTGACCTGTTGCAGTCACTACAGTCATATTTTCAGCACCCCCCGACCCGTGGTTTCGATCCCACCCGTGGTTTCGACCATGTTCCGAATTCCAACCCCAGTGGTTTTGGGTTCCATGTGGTCCTCTGCAAATCCTGAGGGCTCCGGTGCATAGGACCGTGGCATATGCTTCACGACAGATGAGCAAGTGCAGCAAAGGTGAGAAGATGTGAGAAGTATCGACCTTTTGAGCAAGTAAACCACCCAGCCTTCAACCACTGACCCAAATCCAACACAGCGACAGCGATTTCCACTGCGCGACCAGGACGACCGTGACTCGGTAGGCTCTCCTACTTCGGCCCGCGTTCCGTGTTTCAAAGCAGGCGACAAATGGATGTGCTGGTACCCCATTGATTCCGTACATGGTGGGTACCAGAAACATCTGATAGCGACCCGCGAGTGACCCCAATCGATCCATCTCCAAGTGGCCACTGAGTGACACCAAGGACAACAGTATCCAAACACTCCATGGGACTGCCATATATGCCTACATTGGGGTGGCTTGAGGGGTCAATGTAGGCATATATGGCAATACATGGAGTGTCTGGGTTATAGTTCATCCTAGCTCTAGCTCGACATCGCAAAGACCCACCGGTCATTTGGCGATGCTACTTGCGTTGAACTCATCGCCACCCATCCTAGTGGGGCATCCTTTGCAGCCCAGAAACCACCCGTGTCTTCTGATTCCTCCTCGTGCGGCCCACGCGCTGAGCCCCCCCTGGACATATTGTGCGCCGGCAGCAGTGAGAAATCACCCGAGTGTGGTGTGTGCAAATGGGTTTGCAAACAAATGGGGCATCAAATGGCTTAAACAAAACAGGACCCACGGTAGCTGGGTGGTTCATAGACACCGAACTATGCTTCATATGCATCATGCCGCTTTTTCCGGCTCCTATGCGGCTAGCGGCCATGGCTATCGACATGTGGTTGAAATGGCTGGGTTAAGTTTTTGTTTGCCATGTGTTGCGCGCATACCTGTGGGTTCAGGAGACGGTCGCTACCGAGGCTGAAACCTCGACCTTCAAAGACATGTCTTGGTGTCTTGGGGTGTGAAGCCTGGGCTTTAGGCCTTGCCCTGCGTGGTCCGTGCGTGCTTGGAGAGTTGGATTCGGCAGTTGGCCGTGCGGCTGGCCTGCAGCTGGGTACACTCCCTAGGGATCCAAGTACCTTATCAGAAGGTGATTGGAGGCACTGTTATGTAGGTTTGGAGGGTCCAAGTACCTTCTGAGAAGGTACTTGGATCCCTAGGGACTGACTGGAGAGTCTATAACAGGGTGATGGACTGGAACATATGGCTACATTGTCCCTTTTCTCTTCTGGTGTCAGGTGGGCATATATACTATGGAGTGTTTGGGAGTATATCAGTGGCGGTTGTTAAACAATGTTAAACATATACAGACCCCAAAAACCTTCTCAGGGAGGCATTTGCCAGGACTCCTGGCAGTTGATACCTACGGCTACGGGATGCTACGGGGAGCAGTTCCACGTCCTTCGTGACCGGACGGACAGAAGCACCCCCTTCCCAAGCTGGACTCCTCCTCACTCGAGTTCAGGTCCAGCATGGTCCTAAGGTTTTGAAGACCGTTTAAACGTCGTGATGCCAATTCCACCTACCCCAGCATACTTCCCACAGAAATCCAAAGCATACCCCAGCATACCACCCCAGCATTCCTCATGACTAAGCATACTTCCCACAGAAATCTGTTTCCATGGACAAGTCGTCTTCCTTTGACGTCTTCCCCGTCGGCCCAGCCCTGACCGTGACCGTGATCGAGCGCCGAGCGCCTCTCTTTGAGGAGGCGCCGAGCTTCAGCCACCTCGCCGCCGGGATCCCATCGATCACGGCGCGACTCGTGACGACGACGACGACGACGACGACGATGACGACAACAACAGCAACAGCAACAGCAACAACAACATCAAATATTGATCTTATGCCTGAAAAAGACTTGAACATGAAAACTTGAACATGAAAACTCTCATAAAAATGATCGAATTTTTGTCTCAGATGTTTCATGGATTTTCATGGCCTGACTGTTTGGTCCTCTCTCGTTCGTGTGGGGTGTGGACACCGCCCACCCGCACGGCCGCTCGACGAGCGTCGACGCACGCGGAGAAACGCGTCGGACGCACCAGCCTCCACGTCATCGCCATCCCTTTGTGGCCGTCGGAGTGTTGGAGGTTTTTCACCTCCCTTTGGATGGCCCATCCCATATGTACCGGCCAAAGGATTCTTAGGGCAGAATGAATCCAAACGAATCCAACGGACGGGTTCACATCCTTCACCTTCACATGCACTCCGCTCGGTTGAAGATTGTTTGGGATTTTTGGGGAGGTCGGTGCGTTCCATACACAGGCATTTATACATGGCTATAGGCTGTAGGTGAAAACAAGGAGACCTTGGTTGACTACCTGGAGGGCTATGCTGGACTGGTCCGGCTCCAGGGTTTGACCCATCCCCACATAGGTGCCAGGACAAGACTCCCCACCACCGAACTGATCTATATAATATAGGGAACATTTCAAAGGGCACTCATCACCCCGAGTTCGGCACACAACTGTTGGATTACTTTTCCTGAAGCATCCTGGGAGGGAAAATAACAGGAAACAAGAAAAACATTAAAAAGAACACTATGAACAAAACCTCTCTGCCAGGGCAACCTCGCAACATGGAATCAAGGGGTCAAAAATCTCTTCGGCATTTCGCCCTGCCGACTCGGATGCCCCTTGTCCTACCAAGCTATCCCTCCACTTCCCATGGATGATGACAGGGAGTGCAAGTTCCAGAGTGTCATTCAAGTTCACGTCTTTGTTTGTTCTTCTTCATGCATGGTGACTCCTCAAGTCGAGGGCCTTGCCCTCGCCAAGTGACGAAGCTGGCCTTGCATGCTGATCTCTTCCAAAGCCTTTTCTGGCAGTGTTCATGTTTGTGAAATTCCAACACATCACATGGAAGTGGCTGGCACCCCCTGAGGACAGTAGTCTTATGTAGTTTTCCTTTCGGGACCATGCCATCCACTTCGTCCATGTTGGTTGTGCCCTCCCCACGGATCCCTCAAAACACCGTCAACAACGGATTCGTTAAGCTGCCTGCACGGTCTCCCATCTTCTCCCGGTCTCTCACTCTGGCTGGGGAATCGACTCTTCACTGTCCAAATCACTCCCCTGCGCGGATGAACTGATGGCGATGGCGTCAGTGAAATAAGGGGGGTCACGATGATTTCCCCTCATTGATCAGCCTCTGAGTCAATGAGAGGAAATCATGGAACATCGGCTAATTATATAGGAACATCCACAAGATCCTAAAATGATTTAGATTTGGTATTTCGAGGGCTTTAGGAACTGCTAAACGCCAGAAATACCACTGGTTTCTCAAACAAGAAAACATCCGGCACCACCCGAATTCCCACTACATATGCATCAGCAGGGTGGATCCAAATGTCTACACAACCCTCAACAGTACAAATCATTGATGCATATTGGTGCTCTTTGGGAAACAAAAGGGGGGTCCATTTGCTACCTTTATTATACTGGTTGTTCACCTGGGGGTATTCCCTCTATCAATCAACCCTAAAAGGCCATCTACAAGTCTCCTGGTCCTTCCACGGCTCCAGTCCGAGCGTTGATGCTCGATGGTCCAAACGTTGGGAATCTCAAATCATGTCCTAAGAATCCATGCCTCAGCCTAGGAACTGAAAACCGGATCCATGTTCACATGCTGTTCGAATCAGAAACCTGAACACATAAGTGTCCAATCCGTATGGCTGTTTTATGGATCACATCATTTTTGATCCGTTGATGACGTTTGATGTTGATGGGCAGGCGCCGCCCTTCTCCCAAGAAAGTATACCCAAACCCTCCAAGTATGCAAATATATAGCCTACATGACATCTGGAATGGCGACCTGGCTGCCCGGAAGCGGACCATGGAATCATCCTGAAGAATCAACCAAGGGGATGAAGAGGTTGGTGTCAGGACCCCCTTTTGCGGCCCGAACTCCTGCCATGGAGGGCCAAAGGATTCGGAATCTTCAACAAGTCCACATCGAATTTCGTGCCAACTCCCAGACCTTGACCCAAACTGAACAAAGTGAGTCCCTGAAAATGCAGCCTCCAGCAGTATAACGACTTCTGACGGGTGAACCAGGGTGAAGAA